GAGCAGCAAGTTATTTAGTGTAAAGATACAAGGCCGATCCTGTACAAACACTATAAATCAGTATTATCTCGCAGTTAATCTTAAACTTTTATCTTTTTTTAAAAACGTACATGACTCGTTCCTAACACGTTTGTTTATTGCATGATTTGATACCCAAGTCTTTTTATCACTTAAACAGTAAACACCAGATTAAAACGTCAGATCAGTTCTTACTAAAAAGGTTCATTTGGTTACGTCGTGTCACGAGAATATTATATTTGTATTACGAAAAAGTTAGTTTCCTCGACGAATAAAGTCGGGTTGTTTGGAAAATGTGATGGGACCCACAAACGATGAGTTGGCATGATTTTAGAGGTGCAAAAATTGGGAAATTTATGAGGCGGTTAACAATAACTCCTCAACCTTTAATTTTGAGCACACATGGATGATGTTGGCTTAAAAAAGATGTATTAAATTGTAATATCCACATCATACTCACTTCTCTTTATTATTTTATTCACATTTTATCTAATAAAAATATTATAAAAACAATCTTTTAATCATGTTTAGGGATGATTTACTATATATTTATCTGATAAACGCTTACCAGATCACTTACCTAACAGAATGAATATAGCATGACCGAGAATCTTACTCGATAAGAAAGATGACAAGAGCCAAGAATTTTATTCCGCAAATGATGGTCAACGACTTTTACTCGATAAGTGTTTATCGGGTGAACTGTTACACACAATGTTGTTTTGATAGAATAAATTTTTATCTGTAAGGTAAGTGATAGTATTAAATCTTACCGTAAATAATTACTGGAAAGGACAGATGTGCTCATTGGCTTGGGGGATCAATTGACACCCATAAAATTCCAAAATTTTGTTTTTTTTTATTGATGTTTACCTCTTTTGAAATTCAAAAAATAAGGTTCGACCCTACATTAGCACAAGAAAGTTCATTTCTTATATTCTATATTATGTTATTTAAATCCCAACTGTCATCTTTTTGGATCTGTTATTAAAATACCAGATAATTATTTGGGTAAACGGTCTTTTATATAAATAAGATATTCTTTTAAAGGTTTTTGCTAACATATACTGATATAATAATAAAAGAATATAACTGAAAATTGATGTTAGTTTATTCACACTTTCATGATATTATTTTATCTATAAATATTGTATAGAGTAGGTTATAAACATTCTTATCTACTAATTCCATCGTCATATTTATCTATACTATATTATAAATTATTTGACAAAAACTCTTAAAAACCATTTTTTATACATGAAGTACTGTTTATTGATGCATATTACTTAAAATTCAAGATTATAAGTAAATTGTGCGTAAGTACAACTTATTAAATATTCATGTAACTAACTGCAGATAAACATAATTAAATAGATGATAAATATTTTATTTTAAATATAAAAAATCTAAAACAAAATCAGGATAATTATTGAGTTAGAATAAAATATTTAATTATTATCTTTATAAAAAATTATATTATTAAACCAAAAATTA